CTTCTATAAAAATAAATATTTTCATTATACAAAAATATAAAATATTTATATTGTAAATGTATCTAAATTAAATTTATATACCTTTTTCTTTTTCTTATATTTGAAATCGAAAAAAGTATTAAATATGTTCATGAGTGAAGTTGATTCGTATTTGAGAAAAAAATATATAAATTAATTAATTTGATTTGAGTTAATTAAAAAATCTAACTCTCAAACCAATCAACGTTCCATTTAATAAGTTTGATTCGAGTTGAGAAAAAAAAAAAACTAATTTAACTAGATCATTCAAATGTTAGATTCATCATATTCATTGATTCGATAAACATTGCTTGCAGTCAATTTGCATATTTGAGTCCATATATCTGACCATATAACTACATCCTTATGCAGGTTGAAACCTGACCGAAGAGTACATAAATCTTCTACCTTTAGAGCACAAAGTGACATAAGATTATAAAGACATTCAAGTCGGACCCGAACAAAACGCTACACAAATCCTCCAACCCTCGACACAAAATGCGAGAAGAAGGCTGTGTGGACAGTCAAGTCGGAAGCTGAGTCGAAAGATACAATACGTGATACATTAAATATTTAAAAACAGATCAGTCACTGTATAAAAATTCAAATTTGTTTTTCATTTAATGTTTTTATCTGTTGTAACTATGTTTTGTAAGTGTGTGGTTTGAGAAAGAACAGGTTGGTGGTGGGAAATTCACTTGTTCGAAAAAAGAAAAAAGAAAAGAAAAGGCGACAGAAGATGGGAGTTGGACCAGCTCCTACCTGACTCCTGCCCATGTCAAATTGAATGCGATTGAAAGACCCGCGGCAGTCAGCCTACAACCAGACATCATTTTGAATCCCCAAAATCACACAAATATAATAAATAATGCCCTTTTCTTTTTTCTTTATCTATAAAATAGTGTGATTCAAGTTTCATACGTGATTAATTCATAGTGTAAAAATTAGTTTATATTAATTGAATTCTCATGATTTTAAAATAATAATAATAAAATTATGTATTATGTTTTTATGTTAAAAAAATTAATATAATCACCCCTTAGAAAATCTTCAATCAAAATTACTTACACATTTCTTAAACTTGAAAACCAGTTCTCCTATAGATTGACTATTAAAACAATGCTCACAATTATTGTACAATACAGTAATTGATATTTCTATAAAACTACTTTTGTATACTAATTCATATCATAATTACACAATTAAGAAAAAGAGAGAGAAAGAAATACAAAAAAGAAAAAAGAAAACGTTATCATAGAAGTTAATGTGTAAATAACACAACTCATATTTATATAAATTCTAAAGTTGTTTTACATATTAGTATTATTTATTAAATTAAAGTGCACAACTACATCTAAGTTTCTTTTTCTTTTGTTAATGTTCTCCTGCTCACTTTTCTTACAAAAAAAGCCTCCTTTCCCGTTTCCCTGCGAGTTGCTTTGTCTCATTCCCTCAGCTACTCCCAACCTCCTCCTCTTATTTCCACACACACTCCAAGCCACAACAATGCACCTCACCACCATTCTAATTTCCCCATCTCCCTAGATCTGATCTATAAAAAAAGCATTTTGATTTATGGGTCTTCCTCTTTGACTCATTGGGTATTCGGAAACTCATCCATTTTCCGCTTCTTCTTCTTCTTCTTCTTTTTCTTTCTCTTCGTTATGGGGTCCAGTGGAAGCAAAGCCACGTCATCGTCGTCGTCTTCGGGTAGTTTCAGGAAGGGTCGATCTAAGGGGCACAGAGGCTTCCCATCCTATTGCCTCGGAACAACCTCTGGATCTCGTGACATTGATTGTGACGACCAGGTAACTCGCCGTGTTCTTCGGAGAGTTTTGTAATGTAACAACTTCCTCTTTTTTTTCAACTTGCTTCGCATCCTTTTCAATGTTACGTCAATTAGATTATACAAATTGATAATTATCTTTAAGATTTTCGTTTATTTATTTTTTAAAATTTTTAAATCGAGTATGGAAGACTTTTTTTTCCCCCGTTATATGGATGCAGTAGTGTTAGTTAAACTGTGTTGTTTATATTCCGTGCTTAAATTTCCCGTTACTTTTAAATGTGTTTGATTTAATACAAAGGAGTTGCTTACTATGGAATTATTGCACTGATGCTTGGTGTCTATACATTTATAATAAAATCTGAAATATGGAGAGTGAAAGCTAATGATTTTCTTTCGGTACATTCCTTGACATTTACCATTTCAGTGGATGTTTCTTGCTTTGTAATTTAGTGCTGAAACACTCATTAGGTTGATTCTTAAAGGAGGAAATGACATGATTTAACAAGCTTAAAATCAGGCATCGACTAAGGGTAATGAAAGGAATCTTAGTCTTTAATAAAAATTCAACAGTTGATATTCGACACATCCATGATTTGTTATGATTTGTTATGCATGTGCACTTAATATCAACCATTGATTTTTTTTTTCTTTATTAATGGCTAAGATTACTTACTTTATACCCTTTAAAGTGAGTTACCCACTTTAGAGGAGCTACATTGAGTTACTGTTACAAATTACAAATTTTAGAGATTTTGGTATGGTGGTGTACTAGGACTTTCTTAACACTATACTTCTGTCCTATTGTTAGCCTCATTGTCCTGTCAGGCCTTGTTTTGTTTTTAAGCTATGACATGCCCTTAAGGTTGTTTTGAAAATAATACGTATAATGGAACATTTTCTCTTTCCTGTTTGTTCTCATATATTTGTTTCCGTGTATAACTGTCATGTATTGAAACAGTTTGGAATTGGTCAAGGTTTTTTTGGTACTAACTGCCTAACTGTAGTTTGAAACACATGCTTTAGGTTTGTGATCAGAGTAAAGTAAATGGAGATGATGAGACATACACCAGTGGCAATGAAATAGACTCGGATGAAGGGAAGACTGAGTCTTTTAGAAAGGTTAAATCTGATGAAGTGCCTTGTGTGCCTTCTAACATTGACCTTGAGGAGTGGGGTCCCACTGCATCCAGAACTGGCAGCAGCTCTGCTCATTCTTCTTCAAATCGGTCCTTGAATACTTCAAACGGATTCCTTTCTCGCTTTAGCCTTGTTCCTGGTAATATAAGCTTCAGACTTAGCAGAACCACAAGTTTGGGGTCATCTAGGCCTTGCCCTGTATCTTCAGCGGGTCTCTCAATTTTCAACAATGAAGATGAGCTTAATCTGCATCAAAGGCCTGCTAGTGGCTTGATTAATAGAAATGAAACTCAGCACCGTAGCAACTTGCTTAATTCATCTTTTGTTAGCCAAGTGCCTATACAGTGCCATGAAGAAGGATCTAATAATTTAAGACCTAACACCCCAGCATTGGTTTCACCAGGCAACTTGCTTAGCAGTCGCACACGTTCTTCTGTCCAAGATGTGGTTAGAGATGGTGATGGTACAAGAGAAGTGCCGGATGTGAACTTCTATTCTCCAAGAATTCATACTGATACAGAAAATTTTGAGACTAGACATACCGATAGACGAAATGGAGCCCGAGAACCTGTTGAACGTAATGTACGATTTAGCCGAACTTTAAGTGTTGGAAGGCTCCGTGACAGAGTTCTCCGCCGATCAACATTATCAGACTTCACCATTTGCCCTCTGCAACGAGAGAGAGAAGTAAGAGATGCTAGTCAAGATAATGGAAGACGAGCAGGGGAGAGAGACACCAGAGTGTCACCATCTGGTCGTAATGCTGCAAATTCTTCAACACCTAGATATCCTCAACCCAGTACACCTAGCTCCTTGTTTGGCATCCAAGACTATGAAGTTGAGACTTCACGATCTAGAGAAACTAGGTATCAGGATTTACTGGAACATAGATCTAATTTCCTTGAAAGGAGAAGAAGAATACGATCTCAGGTTTGTGTATTTTATGATTATTTTTATTAATAACTGATCTGATAGTATGTTTCATTTCCAAACCAAAAGCATACCCTTATAATAGAAGAAGAAAAATGAAAAAATATGGCCAAGATGTTCTGCTTGCCATAAATAATTGAATCGAGGCTTTTGAAACAAACAAAAAAAAAACTCAGAAGACTTGTAGTTTCTTCTTTGGAAACATCTGTAAAATGTTCTCTTTCTCCATCGCTGGATTTTATTCATGTTGATGATGTATGTTTAAAATGGTTTAGGTCCGTGCTCTTCAGCGGTTGGGTAGTCGGTTTGAAAATCTTTCTGGACATGACAGATCATGTATCTTGTCTGGTCAACATAGAAATGGTCGTTGTGCATGCCGAATCGGTAGTCGTGATACCAATTCAAATGATGATACCAATGCTAGAGCTAGCATATCAAGAATTGTTATGCTAGCTGAAGCCTTATTTGAGGTAAGTTTAATTTGCTGTGTTAGCTGTTCTGGTGGCCATTCATTTTATAATTATACAAGTTGAATATTTGTACATATTTTAATTAGGTTCTGGATGAAATTCACCAGCAATCTGTAGTTTTATCTTCTCGCCCTTCTGTGTCATCTATCGGTTCTGTTCCTGCACCTAATGAAGTTGTGGAATCCCTGCCTGTCAAATTATACACAAAGTTGCACAAACATCAAGAAGATCCTGTGCAGTAAGTATTCAGGCTCACCCTCCTCAGAGTGTTCGTTCTCTCAAATGCCTTTGGATTTTTCTTTTCCACTTTCATGTCCATTTCTTTAATATAAATCTTTTTCTCTTGCATCTCTTTTTAGTGACATGTCAAACCAACTTGTATCCTGCGACTTTTCCAAAATAAAAGTTAAAAACAGGAATGAAAACGATGAATAACACTCTTCAGTCATGTCTTTCAAGACTGCACTGGCTTTGTTTTACATGATGGCATGAAAATGCTACCTGATAGCGATACCATATACCTTGAAACTTTACCTCCCACCTCCGTAACCAGTTGTTGTCATCGTCACTTACTGCATATTTTGCTTTAACGATTCATAATTTCAGGTTTTAATTTTTATGTACCTATTCAGATTTTCATGAATGTTTTTTTTTTTTTTTTTGTCACGGAGTGAGGCCTCTGCCCTTGTTTACTTCTTTTAGTATGCTGATGCACATTTTATTTTTTAAATTTATTTAGTACTATTAAACTTAAAACTAGTTTAGACATTTCTCTAATTGGAATATACTAAACATTTTTTTTTGCCTTTGTTAATCCTTTAATTTTGTAGATGTTATATATGCCTTGTGGAGTATGAGGATGGAGACAGCATGCGAGTTCTGCCTTGTCATCATGAATTTCATACAACATGTATAGACAAGTGGCTGAAGGAGATTCACAGGTACATGGCTAAAAAGTTCGAAGTTATATACAATTGTTTCTTGCTAATTTACTGCTATGGTGTTGGTGTATCTATGCATATCTTGGACTGTGGAACCTATCTAGTAAATGGGACAGAAGAATAAAGAACATAGACGATGAGTGGATTTTGCATCTATTTTTTAAACTAGCAGCACTTCAATAAGTAAATTGTAAAGTAATGCTGGTAAACACTAGAAATTTGCATAACTGTATAATGGTAAATTCTGGAGATTGGAAAAACTGACTGAATGTTTTGCCATCTTGTGAGCTTCTGCCCTATTATTTTGAGCTCATTCAACCTGTGGTCCAACCACCATGATATTTTGAGATGGATAACGAAAGATTTTAATGCCCTTCTGACATCATGATTTTGCGGACTTTTCCTGTTTTTAAATCTTGGCAATTCATAAGACCCTACTGTAATAATTGATTTAATTCCTCTGCATCATTAAATTGAGCTATATATGTCCCGATGTACCTTGTTGTCCTCTATTCATATGATCATTATGTTAATATCTTTACTTGCAAACTCATGTGCTAAAGATGCTGGGGAATGTGTGATCTCTTTAACTTTAATATATTATACACAGGGTGTGCCCACTATGTCGAGGGGATATCTGTGTATCTGATTCACTGCCGACAGAGAACTAAGGTGGCCAATTGTTAATCAACATCTCAGAGATACTCATGGCTCCTTTGATCATTCATTGCACATAAGCTCATGTGACACCAACAGAAGAAGCACTTTCATTGTTGCCAATGATTATTTACTCCAATTTCTTAATAAACATCAAACCATAGTAGAAATAGACTGATCTACTAGCTCACCCTTTATCACCAAGTGAAACAGGTGACCAAAAAAGGTGGGTAGGGGTATTGTTTATGGAGAAATTTCCCAACATGTTTCAGAAAAAGGTTCTCTTGTGATGCATCCAACACCCTTTTCTTTTGCCCCACTTCTTGTTAAACATATACACCATTTGGCAAAAAGCATCAGTCAAAGGAGCACTTTTGGTCATCCATGAAACTGCAGATTGGCACAGCATCTTTGACCGAGTCATTCTCTTTATCTGTAGACCGGTCAACCAATTGGCTTCAAACATTACAGTCTTGCATGCGTGTGATGATACCCTTTTCACTTTTCAGAGGAAAAAGGGAAAAGAAACATTTCAATTGCAGTGTAAATTGAGGGAGACAAGTGGTAGTTGTCTCCTAACAGGCCTGAAAGACCACCAGCTACACTGATTTGTTGTACTATTTGGTCTGCATTGTGTTCTTCCAATGCATGATCATGATGCAGGGATGGTTATAGCATGATTTGCTTGAGATCTGGATCACCCACTTATCTTTATTCATTTGATCTGTCAATTTTTTTTTTAATATTTGCTTAATATTTTTATATCATTGCCTATTGATGGAGGAACCTTGTACGTTTTCCATGTTGTCGTGCCACTCACTGTCGCCTTGTTAGATCATTTTATTGTTATTATTATTATTTAAGTACAAAATTAATGCTTCTAGATTTATATATGTGAAAAAATGCTTTATTTCTTTTTTATTTAAATATAAGTAAATTTCAACAAATCAGTGTTATTTAATATTTTTGAAAGATATTTTTAAATAATAAATGGAATTAAGGATATTTTAGTAAATATAGCATATATTTTATAATAAAAATTAAATATATTTAACTTTGTTTCTTAATTTGTAAGTAATTACTTTTTTTTCTTATATATCGGTAATTAGAATATTACTATTATATTACAAATATCTTGATTTTCAATAAAAATGATTTGCTGATTTTAGTGTCTTTGGGATAATTGTGGGGAAAAGGTATTATTATGAATAGTTGCAAACGAGTGCGCCGGCCGACCTAAGGATAAGAGCTTTTAAAACTTAAACTTTAGGCTTACAAATAAAAAGAAATGTTTGATATTAGTTTTTATAAACAAAAGAAAAATTCACTTACGTTAGTTACAACTTTTATATTTTTATCATATAATTAAGATTTGCTTATCTTACTCATAAATCATAATAGAAGTTCTCACGTGATATGCTTCCTTATGTACGTATTAAAAAAATCAAAGTGAGTGGCATAATCATTTGCAATAATGGATATCATACTAATTTCTTAATGTTCAAACAACGAAATTGCTTAGATAGATGATCATGCAAAGGATACTATGTCAAGTAAGTAATTCACATGGCCTAAAGCACATGTATTTGGATCTGTAATGAGCATGAGTTTGACTCGTGAACTGATAGTTGCTTGCTGCCATCCATAGGTACAACACAGCACACTATTGGTCTCAAATCACATGCAGAGGTGACACATATTTCATGCATGTCAGCCAGAAGTCCAGAACCTTTGTTTTAATGATATATTAAGAAATCCAATTTCAATCAGATAGGGAGTAGTATAAGACGAGCCTAATAAAAAATGTATCAAGTTATTATCACGTAGAAGATGCTATATTATTGGAGTGACTACTATTTTATTACATTCTAATTTTATAAAACAAACTTTCAAATGATACAACACAACACTATATTTAAAGACAAAGCACAAAAAAGGGGTGTGGTGTTGTCTCTTGGTTGGAACAAGGGAATGTAGGAGAAAAAGTAAAGAAACGAGTGCAATGAAATGAAAGAGTAAAAAAATGAAAATAAAAGAAAGAAAGGGAGACAGAGAGAGACATAATCATCATGAAAAGATAATGAAACAAAAAGCTTTATATTTCCCATACAAGGATAAAAAAATCCGTCTCGAAATATTTTTCATTTTCTTCCAAACCAAACAAATAAATGAAACTTAAACTCTTTTTTTTTCTTTATTCCAACAAACTAAAAAATTTGTCTACTACTTTTTTGTAATATTTTCTTTCTTCTTCTTTTTATCTTACTTATTTCTCTATTATTTCGTAAACACCTTTTAATTTACGTGGCACTATTCTATAATCCCAACAAAATTGTTTAATTTACTTCCCACTCCCCCCAAAACAACGTATATATTTGATTCGTGGAAATTGAAATGAAATTACAATAATACAAAATAAAACAAGAATTTTTTTTTTTAAAGATCAGAAAGATTACAAAAATAGTTGTAACGAGAATTGAATTTAAGTTCTCATACTTCTAACTATCCGAACTCCTTCCGACCTAACTACTCCCCACCCAATCACTAAACTAACCATAATGATCAAATAAAACAAGAACTTTGATTCACTATAACATTTTTTTTTACTGAAATATATGTTATATCATTTAGTCTACGTTTGACTAACTATGGTATTTTTTTAAAATTTTAATACATAAATAAAAAATAAAAATACTTTCAGTTAATGAAGTCTCTCTCTTAATTTACTTTTTTTTTATACAAGATTCAAATTTAAAATATTATATAAAGAGACGAACACTACACCAGAAGTGGCAATAGATAGCACTATTTAGATAGCGCTTAATTAATAAGTGTTGTGTTTTAAAACATGAAACGTTAAAAAAACGCTTAATTAAATAAGCGCTATAATATAGTTTTATATAGAGAGCGCTTAATAAAAAAAATGATATCTTTGTGTTATTTTATTTATAAAAAAATATGTTATAGCGCTTTTATTAAAAAATGCTTTCTAAAAGTGGCATTAGATAGCACTATTGAGATAGCGCTTAATTAATAAGTGTTGTGTTTTAAAACATGAAACTTTAAAAAAGCGCTTAATTCAATAAGTGCTATAATATAGTTTTATATAGAGAGCGCTTAATAAAAAAAATGCTATCTTTGTGTTATTTTATTTATAAAAAAATATGTTATAGTGCTTTTATTAAAAAGTGATTTCTACAAGTGGCAATAGATAGCACTATTTAGATAGCGCTTAATTAATAAGTGTTGTGTTTTAAAACATGAAACTTTAAAAAAGCGCTTAATTCAATAAGTGCTATAATATAGTTTTATATAGAGAGTGCTTAATAAAAAAAATGCTATCTTTGTGTTATTTTATTTATAAAAAAATATGTTATAGCGCTTTTATTAAAAAGTGCTTTCTAAAAGTGGTAATAGATAGCACTATTTAGTTAACGCTTAATTAATAAGTGCTGTGTTTTAAAACATGAAACGTTAAAAGAGCGCTTAATTAAATAAGAGCTATAAAAAGGTTTTATATAGAGAGCGCTTAATAAAAAAAATGTTATCTTTATATTATTTTATTTATAAAAAATAATGTTATAGTGCTTTTCTAAAAAAGTGCTTTCTAAAAGAAAATAAATAGATAGCGCGTGTAAATAGAAGCGCCATTTATAAAATTTTATGAATTGATTATTTTTTTTAAAAATTATTATGGCACTCATTGAAAACATTTTAAAAAAAATAACTGCGAAGTACTTATTAAAAAAACCTTTTCTATTGGTTTATAAAAAAATATGTTATAGAACTTTTCTAAAAAAGTGCTTTTTAAATAATATAAATAAAAAGATTTATAAAATTTTATAAATTAACTATTTTTTTAAAAAAATTATTATGGCACTCATTGAAAAATAATATTTTCAGAAAAATAATTGTAAAACGCTTATTAAAAAAATGCTTTCTATTGGTCTTTTGTTTAATGGGCCGATTCACTTCATGCATTTGTGTATTCACTGTCCTCATAACTCACGGTTCTTTGTTTTCCTTCACACCCACGTTAACATTTAGTATCCTATCACTCCCGCGCTCCTTATCACTCCCGGCCATAGTCATCCTTTGAAATCTTCCTTTACCATCATTCACAACATTTATATCCTTGTTCGTAAAGTGTATCTCAAGCTACCTCTGCTTAGCATTCACATCATTAACTCGTATTCCAGGTTTTTATTATTAGGTATTTCTTTTTTTTGTTCCTTATTGAATATTTTTTTTTCATTAATGCTTAACTTTGATTCAAGAAACAAATATTAAATTCCTTTTCTTTTACTTTTTCTTTGATCAATAGAAGAAAGCACTACGACAACTGCGACATCCGTTGAGAAATCTAGGTCTTTTTTTTTTGCAAGATTCATCCTTGAAAAGTTACGTTCTTTTCTTCTTATAAGAAAAGAAAAAAGGTGAGAAGAAAAGAAAAAAGGTGAGTTCTCATATATGTGATTACCTTCTTTTAGTCAAATATTGCATTTATTTTTTATTTTTATATTTACTATTTTTATCTTTTGTTGCGAATGATGTATGATGATTTGTGTTGTTTTGAAATTTTAATAATTAAACAAGATTATCTAAACTCAGATTATGAGTTATGCAACTCAACATAGGTTCAAGAAATGAATATAGGAAACAATACATATATGTAGAAAACATGAGAAGAAGGTGCAGATTTTTAAGGTAGTGTTTTTTTACCACCCACCTCCACACTTTTTAGACTTTTCCAATGAAATCCAACAATAAGACATTGAGTATAACCATCTGTTGGAACGTGAAATGGTTGTGTATCCACCTGGAACACTCTTTGTTGGCCAACACTTCCAAACAAAAGAACAAGTACAAGATGTCATTAACAGATTTCACATTGTCAACCATTGCACTTACAAGGTTAAGCACTAAAACACTACTAGGCTTCTCGTGGAATGCGTTCACTGTAACAGCCCAATTTTCACAGATTGTTTGAGGGTCCAAAGGCCCAATAGAGGTGATTTAGTAGCCCAGAACGGGCTGTTCCCAAATCGGATCCACATCTCAATTCCACAATACATACACAATCCACACAAAATGGTGGTTCACATACCCCTCAAGTAATTCACCATGAATCCTCACCTAGATCATCAATTTTATCAAATAATATAACAATAACATTCATAAATTAATATAATAATCAATAGAATTAGCAATTTAATATAATCTTAACATAAACGGTAAAATCCCCAATTATTCCAAAACCTAACTCACAGACACTTTTCTACAATTTCGTGCTCTCTCCCAGATCATCATTCTTACAAATTAAATATATATTTCTCATCCTCAACATATACCGAATCTAATGGGATCATCAATTTCTCATACATAAATAATCCAATTTTTCCAAAACCTAGCCTACAGGCACTTTTCTATAATTTCGTTCTCTCTCCCAAATCATCATTCTTACAAACTAAATATATATTCATAATCCTAAATATATACAGAATCACATAAGACCAATAATTCTCCAAACAGAAGTAATTATAAAACTACTCATAATCCTACGAGCTTCCTTTTCTACCCAATTCCCTCATGTAACTTTGCATACAAATAATCCCCTTTTCTCCCGTACCTTGATAAGTAGTAGCTGATCCTATGCAAGATCTGGTTGATCTCCCTTGTTGGATTCCCCTCGGTCTGAAGCAGAAAGTAGAGGGAAAGAAGAGAGAGCAGAAGAAAAGAAATCAGAAAATGAGAGGTGTGTTTTTTGGGAGTGGCAGAGCGCTCTATTTATAGGCATCAGGC